CTGTCACCAGGTCGTTTGATCTGTTACTAGTTATGTGAGCCCAGGAGTCCGTTTAATTTTCTTGTATGGTTGCAGCTCAGGGTTCAGATAGTCAGTCACCAAGTTTGTAGTGCAGGCTCTTACCTACAGTCCTAGGTAGGCAAGGGTGATTGGTGTAGGCACAGGTATCTGCCTGCAGCATCAACGCCTGAGCGTGACAGCTGCCCCTGAGTATCTGGGAGGCGAGCGTGTCCCTGTTCCATAGAGTATGTAGGTGGGTCGGTTTTGAAGCCAGATTATGGACACCCAGTGCTGTTGGCTGTAAGGACTGAGAGGCACGACTTATTCTCAGATCCCTGTCACAGGTGGCTAGGTGACATGGTTGGAGCCACCAGTCCTCAGGCCCCTGATGTGGATAGGTAAGGACTCTGCATAATGGGCACAGCAGCGTCAAATGTCATGAACCTGTCACTCCACCAGATAGCTTATAACGTGAAGTTAGGCTTCAGTTATGTACCCTGTTGTACTGTGCTAATGAGGGCCTTCACTGTTAAAATGGGCCCACGCAGGTCTATGCAGGGGTGAAAGACATTCAAAGTCTGTGGACCTGGTATGTCTTTGCCTAGGCAAAGGAGCTGTGCCCGCCCTGCATTCCCAGCTTAGGGGAGCTGGCAGATTATTTTTTCCTGTTTGTTAAATTTGTTCCTTCTCCAAGACTGGGAGGATGGCTCAGGGTGAGTGATGGTTCCTACTTTTGGCTGCAACTTAGCTGAGACCTGGGGCAGAGCGGAGTGGGAGCAGGTAAATGGGAGAGAGGTTCTTCCAACATGGGGTTTTTTTTTTTCATTGTACTTTAGTTAAGGTTTACAGAACAAATAGTTTCTCGTTAAACAGTCAGTATGCATATTGTTTATGACATTGATTAACAACCCCACGACATGTCAGCACTCTCCTTTCTTGACTTTAGAGGACCTTTTTTTTTTTGGTGAAAATATGCATAGCCAAAAATACACCATTCCGGAAATTTTCTACGTGTACAATTCAGTGACATCTATTACAGTCTTCCAGTTGTGCTGCTATTCTCACTGTCCTTTACCAAATTATTCCATCACCATTATCTTCAACTCACTGCCCCCTAGGCTTCCCATTAGACCTTTTGAGTTGCTGTTATCGATTTGATCTCACATAGATAATTCTTGTTTTTTTTTTTTGGTACCTTAGATGAAGGTTTACAGAACAATAGTTTCTCATTAAATAGTTAGTACACATGTGCCTTATGACAATGGTTAACAACCCCGTGACATGTCAACACCGTCCCTTCTCAACCTTGGGTTCTCTGTCACCAGTTTCCTTGTCCACTCCTGACTTCTCATCATTGTCCCTGGACTGCTGTGCCTCATTAGTCCTGTTTTGTTTTATGAGGTGTCCAATCCCTGGCTGAATGGTGAACTTCGGGAGTGACTTCACCTCTGAGCTAAAACGGTATCCGGAGGCCATACTCTCGGGGTTTCTCCAGTCTTTCAGGCCAGTAAATCTGGTCTTTTTTTTCTTTTTTTTTTTGTGAGTTAGAATTTTGTTCTACATCTTTCTCCAAATGGGGTGTTTTTTGATCCGTGTGGTAGGTTAAATGTATGTATTTATTTTTTGCCACTTGAGCGCTGCTTTTTACTGTCCCTGGAGGCCTGAGGAGACTCTCCACCGCTCGGTGTTTCCCGAATTGGAAAATGCGTCCCAAACGCCACTGCCTGCCTCACCATACATGCCAGCTGATCTGTCCCCGAGGGCACCGGTTTCCGCCGGGTCAGATCTGGCAATTCCTCGCTTCTTCTGAACAGTCTCTCCCTCCCCCTGCCGCTCAGTCCAATTCCTTAACTTTACCTTTGATATTTAGGGCTCCTAGATTGTCATATATATAATCGATTCACTTGTTTTTTCGGGTCTTTTTTGTAAGAGGGACCACTGGAGGTGTCTGACTACTCCACCATTGTGGCCCGGCCTCCGAATTCTTCTATTCTCAGGACAGAATTTACATACCATGCAATTCAGCCATTTAAAATGTGAACTCAGGGCCACATAAACCAAAGACTTCATCAGCCTGAGACCAGAAGGACTGCTAGAAGTACTAGACGGTGCCCGGCTACCACCGATGACTGTCCTGAGAGAGAACACAACAGAGAGTTCCCGACAGAGCAGGAGAAAAGTGGCATGCAAAGCTCAAATTCTTGTACAAAGACCAGACTTAATGGTCTGACTGAGACTGGAGAGACCCTGGAAGACATGGCCCCCGGACTCTCTGTTAGCCCAGAACTGAAACCATTCCCAAAGCCAGCCATTCCCAGCCATTCAGACAAAGATTAGATTGGACTGTGGGACATAAAATGATACTCGTGAAGAGTGTGCTTCTTAGCTCAAGTAGATACATGAGACTAAATGGGTAGTTCCTGTTCAGAGGCAAGATGAGAAGGCAAAAAGACAGGAGCTGGCTGAATGGACATGGGAAATCCAGGGTGGAAAAGAGAAAAGTGTTGTCACATTATAGGGAGAGCAGCTTGGGTCACATAACAATGTGTGTATAAAGTTTTGCCTGAGAAACTGACTTCAGCTGTAAACTTACACTTAAAGTACAAGTTAAAAAAAAAGTATAAACAAAAATAAAGAAATTAAGAGGTTTTTGCAGCAGAAAAATGAATAAAATGTGAACTCTGATATTCCCATAAGTAGTTCCTATTATCCTCTGTTTTGTTTTGTTTTAAACTTGATTACTTTCTTAAACATTGGTTCTGTATTCATTAGCTATTATCAATTATTGTTTTCAACCATCTAGATGAATTTTCTCTCACTTCTCTGACAGGAGCTACTGATTACTAAAATTTATCACTTCATATAATTTTTAGCAACAGATTGTATAAATTCTTCAGGCATTCTGTAGTGTGCTAAATACATTAGTCTTTTTTAAAAAAATTTATTTTGTTGTTGAGAATATACACAGCAAAACATACACCAATTCAAGTTTCTTTATGTGCAGTTTAGTGACATTGATTACACTCTTCAAGTTGTGCAACTATTCTCACCCTCCTTTTCTCTGTTGTTCTTCCCTCAGTAACATAAACTCACTGCCCCCTAAGGTTCCTGTCTAATTTTTCAAGTTGTTGTTGTCAGCTTGATCCCATGTAGGTAGATCTTAAAATAACATAATGCTCAAGGCAAACCTTTTCTACTAGTTAAGCTAACCATTGTTCAGTTTTACAGTGACTTCTGGGGGTATTTTTGGTTTAAGGTTTAAAGATTTTCTTGAGACAATAGTTTCAGGGGTTCTTCTACCTTCCATGGCTCCAGGAAGTCTGTAGTCCAGGGTAATTTGAAATTCCGATGTGCATTTTCTCCTTTTTGATCAGGATTCTTCTGTGAAATGTTTGATCAAAATGTTCTGTAATGGTAGCCAGGCACCATCTGTTTCTTCTGGTCTCATGGCATAGGAGGCAGTTGTCCATGGAGGCAGTTAACCAAACATTGCATATCCTCCTCCTGTTCCTGACTCTCCTTCATGTGTTGCTCCAGGTGAAGAGACCAGTTGTGCCTCGGATGGCCACTTGCAAGCTTTTAAGACTCCTGGCGCTATGGAACGAGCTAAGAGATAGAACAGAAACACTAAACACGTTATTAGGCCAGTTAACTGGGATGTCCCATAAAACCATGACCCGAAACCTCCAAACCAAGGAACCAAATCCCATGAGGTGTTTGGTTGTACGTAAGCAGCCTCAACAGCTAGTCTTTTGTTGTTGTTGTTGTAAATGTATCACGCTACTTTTACGAATTCACCTTTCTACAGGCATACGACTTATGCACAGCAATTACAGTAATAGGCTGTGCAGCACTATTCTTAATCAACACTGTATTTCCATCACCGTTTAACCCCCGTTTTTTCCCTCTCTTGTTCCCCTGGAAACCACTAATAAACTTTGGTTTCTGTACATTTGCCTTTTCATGTCTTTTTGTATAAGTGAGATCACACAATATTTGCCCTTTTGTGATTTTCTTATTTCACTGGGCGTATTGTCTTCAAGCTCCATCTGTGCTGTGTCACCTATCAAGACTTCATTTCTCCCACTGGCTTGGTAGTTTATCCATTTGTTTTATTTATCCATTCATTTGTCAGTGGGCATTTAGGTTGCTTCCACCTTTTGACTATTGTGAATAGTATTGCGGTGAACATTGGTGTACAAGTCTCTTTTTCAATCTTTGCTTTCAAGTCTTTTGGGTATATACCTACAAGGAGAATTCCTGGTTTATATGATAGGTTTTTGAGGAACTGCGACACTGTCTTTCACAGTGGCTGTACCATTTTGCATTTCTGCCAGCAGTGGAAATAGGTTCTAGTTTCCCCACATCCTTGCCAACACTTGTTATTTTCTGTTTGTTTGTTTATGTTAGCCTTCCTTATGGGAGTGAAATGGTGTCTTATTGTAATTTTGATTTGCGTCTCTCTCATGACTAATGACACTGAGCATTTTTTCATGTGTCTGGTGACCGTTTGAATGTCCACTTTGGTGAAATGTCTGTTCAAGTCCTTTGCCTTTTTTGTGATTGGGTTATTTGTCTTTTTGTTGTTGTCAAAGATTTTTGTATATTTTTAATATTAGGTTTTTATCGAATACATGGTTACAGAAGATACTCTCCCAGTTGGTAGTTTGTCTTCACTTTTAGATAAAGTGTTTTGATGAACAGAAGTATTTACTTTTTATGAGGTTGCATTTGTTTTTTTCTTTTGCTGTTTGTATGTTTGTAATAGATTAGTCTTTACTACGCGTAAATTCATACGGTTTTTGAAAAGTTCGCTTTCTGCTCCCACCTCCACAATTTATTCTTTGGTCTCATCTCAGCTTCTTTTAAGTTACTATCCAAATCTGTGGTTCTTTGGGTTGAAAAAGGAAAATTTGTTTGTTTTTAATTCTTACTTTTGAAAGTGCAATCTACATTTTTTAAAGTACTCATATTCAAGTAAAAATTACTCAAATTCCTAGGTATGTTCAAGATCAATAAATTTAGAAAAAACTTCAGATTCGTTGAAAGGAAACATGGCTGCATTTCTAAAGTAAGTGCCTTTCATTTTCAACTTTGAACTTAATCCTGTAAGAAGAGTATGCTGTATTACTTGTCTTTTCTGTATTTGTCGTGCATTATCTTATAACCAGAGAGTTACTGTTATTTGAGAACCAGTTAAGGTTAATTACAAATCTTTGTAGCCACATGAAACTTTAGGGTCATATAAGTTACTTTTTTTGTATTGTATCATTAATGTCACAGTTTTAAATAAGAACCAAAGGAAAATTTTAAAATCTATTACAGAATATTGTTATGTAATTTATGAACAGGTGGCTTTTTAAATGACTTATTAATAAAAATTCATTAATATGATTTTTTTCCCAGCTAAATTATACACTTTTTTGTTTCACAATATTTCTTGCTGATCTAGGAATGTGTGTCTGGGGTTGGAAGATCTGCAGTATGTTTTCATGATTTCTTCACACGAGCTTTTCATTACATTGTTGAAAGATGAAGAACGAAAGCTACTTGTTGATCAGATGAGGAAGAGATCCCCTAGAGTAAATCTGTGCATTAAACCTGTAACTTCATTTTATGATATCCCAGGTTAGCTCTGCAGTCTGCTGACTAACATGTTGGCACATTTTACCCATCTATTCAGATTAACCTTGAAATACATTTGAGGATGCCCTCTTATTTGTTCTAGTTTATACTTATGTTGATAATTTATAGAAATTTACCTGTCTTCCATACACCTGCTCCCCACTTATCGACTGTCTCGTTTTATGAAATTTCGCATTTATGACAATATTAGAAAATCTACTAACTCACTATTTTGTGCATTAACAACATACGTCTGGCAGTAACGAACGCCAAGTTTTGAGGCAAGAGTAATGCTGGCTGTGATAGTTAAGATTATATGTCAGCTTGGCTGGGCCATGATTCTCAGTGGTTTTGCAGTTATGTAATGATGTAATTTGACAATGTAATTATGTAATCATCCTCCATTTTGTGATCTGATTTGGTCATTCTCTATTTTCGCATAACACTGATTTCGCATAGCAACCTGGTCTTTGGAACCTAACCATGTCAATAAGTGAGGAGCGCGTATGTTTCTATTTGTGTATAAGTAACTAAGTGATTGGATTCCTGGCGCATCTATGGATAATGAGGATTTAGTGTAGAAACGTAAAAGATTTTAGCTGGGAAAATAGACCTGGGTAACTCTGCTGTTAATATGTTGTTGGAGGTTTAAAAAAAAAAAAGCAGGAGCTATAACTTTTATGTTTTACTTTTGTTTAACTCATGCTTTTATACTTAATATATTGAAAACTCCCAAATCAAAGACAAATGTTTATGCATTTCAGTGTATATCACCGATATTGTCTGCTGGGTAAACGCTCAGTTTTAGCAGCATTGTCATTTTTGCGTTACTATTTCATGATTTTCTCCCTTTTTTTGCCATTATTTTATAAGTGGAAGATGTAGTACTAGTCATTAATAAGAAGAATAAACTTCAAAACTTAATATAGATGAGACAGAATTCAGTTGATTTAACAAAAGCAAAATTTTAGCCGCTTTAACCCTGACTAGATTTAAACTGATTGGCTCTGTCCAATTGTAAAGGAAAAGAATAACATTGACACAAACAAAATGCTAGAGATGCACTATCAAAGTCTGTATCGGAAAGCTGAGCTGTAATTAGGGATTTTAATGATCATTTCTTGGTTCTCTTGGAATACCTCCTGCTCTCCCCTCAAAAAGCACACATTTTAAATACTACTCAAAATTAACACTTTATGCGTGCTTTTGTTGGTGCATTATGTTCAAAAGTAGAACTGTCTATATAAGTTAACTCTTTCCATACATACTTAGTTCTGTCTATTAACCAATTATTGACTGTTACCTTTGTTTATTATTTTTACTATTTATTTTCTAGATGCATTCATTTATTAAATGCAGATATAACTTTATGTTGAATGAATCAGTTCTGAAGAGCTGCTTTTAACTTGTAGATGGAATACTTACAAACATACACAGTTTCTCTTACCTTTTAATTATATCGTTACTAAAATAGAAATCTTTTTTTTCTTTAGCTTCAGCAAGTGTCAACATTGGCCAGTTGGAGCACCAGCTTATATTGTCAGTGGATCCCTGGAGGATTCGACAGATTTTAATTGAATTACATGGTATGACTTCAGAGCGCCAATTCTGGACAGTATCTAATAAGGTAAGAAACCTGCTGTTAAGAACGGGTAAGACCTTTTTGAGAATAAGGACCCCTTATATATGTCAAAAATTTTAGGGCCGTCACATGCAATAATGTCCACTGAAAGAGAATGTCCAAAATGTCAAAAAGGAAAAAAAAAAGTACTATTAACTATTAGGTTAGTAACATCTAAAAATGAGCTTGCATTTCACTTATTAGCATCTTCACGTATTTTAAATATAGCTATAAATATATGTATAGGGCATGTTATTTATGCAATTTGTAGCTAATACAATGTGCTGTATAGGGTTTTTTTGGTTTTGTTTTTTAACACAGTCTTGAAGTCTAAAGCCTACAGTTTAGAACCACTTCAGTAGAACTTTTTAATAGAACATTTTTTACTTTAGATGTTCTTTTAGAGCTCCCAGTGAATATTTCCGAGATTATCTGTTGAAGTTTTTCTGCATGGATGTACAAATGAAAACAGCTTCTAAAATATCATTCAGAGGAATGTAGCTAGAGATACAAGGGAAATAACCTATAGATACAGCAGAGATTAAGTAATAGAGCAATGCTTCTGTATCCTCATCCTCTGCTAAAGATATAGTAAAGCAGCCAGAAGTTCATGTATATTTTATGGAGTTTAAGCAAACAAGTGCAGTGAAATGAAAAATTGCTCTGAACATTAGTTGAGCTTCCTCAGTGTTTGCATTATTATTAGCATTTCTCTTTATAGATGAGAAAGTATAGCATAAAAGTTAAGAGAGGGGGTTCTGGGACTAAATTCCTGAGTTTGAATCCCATCTCCACACTAACTAGCTGTATAACCTTGGACAAGTTAATTAACTTCTGTGCCTCAGTTTTCTCATTTGTAAAATGAGGACAGTAGTAACTACTTCATAGTGTTGTTGTGAGGATCACATGAATTAATACGTACAAAACTCCTACAACAGATATTGGCCCTGAATAAATATTTTACAAGTATTAATTGTTAATGTTGTTATTAAACTAATTTTAACCTTAGGGAATTTGATTGTATTGCTAGGCTGTTGATGAAAGTAGCACAAATGGAGTGCAGTGAATCCTATTTGATTATTTAAAACAAAGCCAATAATTTTACTACTTCATTTGGTCCATAGCTAAATCCAAACCAGTAGGAAGGCATGATTAAGATGGAGAGAAAAACATATTTTAGGAGCATAAAGCAGGCATAATAGAGTGACACAAGAAAAAGATAACAGCTACTGGGAAATGTGTCAGTGGGAGCCAGAGGCATTCTTTGACACATTGATGTCACAGGCTGGTACTGGAGCTGTGATCTAATATAATTTACACGCTCCTCCGCATCTCTACCCCTGTTCGTGCCATCCTCACAGCCTGACTCTAAAAGACAAAAATATATGGACAAAATTTTTTTTTCCTTTCTATAGACCACCTTCAGAAAATTCCAATCCACGTAACTATTTATTACTGGTTTATTATAGTCCATAAGAGCCCTGGTGGTGCAGTGGTTAAAGCGCCTGGCTGCTAACCAAAAGATTTGGTGGTTTGAACCCGCCAGCCACTCCGCAGGAGAAGTATGTGGCAGTCTGCTTCCGTAAAGATTTACAGCCTTAGAAACCCTATGGGACGGTTCTATTCTGTACTATAGGGTCACTATGAGTCAGAATCAACTAGATGGCAGTGGGTTTATATAGTGAATATGTTTGTTTTGATTAGTATTTCATTATGACTGTTATTTTCCTTTTTCTTTAAAATGATCTATGAATGATCAGTTATTTTTGTTTTAATGTGATTGAAGATTATTAGAAGATTCTTTGTAGACTTGGCTGTCTCTCTTTCTCTGTATGTGTGTTTTTATGTATTTTTATTTCTTCTAGTGGGAAGTACCTTCTGTTTATAGTGGTGTTATTCTGGGAATTAAAGACAATTTAACAAGAGATTTGGTTTACATTCTCATGGCAAAAGGTTTGCACTGCAGTACTGTTAAGGTGAGTAAAAACATATACCAACTATTGATTAACAATGTGCTTCAATAATTTTAGCATGAAACCAGGAATTAGAACCTGTTATCTTTTCTTGATCTTAAAATCACAGTCATAGGCCTAAAAGGATATTTGAAAAGCTGTTTTGGTTTGTACTTTTTCCCTTACGCTCATAACTACACCAGAGTTGTCTTGGGCATATGGATACTGCTCTATGCGTTTTTAAAAGTCTAGAGAACATCATTATTTGTGTCCTTTAGGATTCACTTAGTAAAAATTGTATACGAAGATTACAAAGAAACCAAAATCCCTTGAAGTTACTTTTGTAGTGTCTTTTACATAAGGCGTTTGTAGTCTATTTGGGAAGTTGAGACACAAGTGAAATATTCAATTATATAATACAGTATAGTTACACAATTAATAGTACAGTTAAGTTCTATAGGATTGTTAAAGACAGTATTTGGAAGACAGAACTCCTGAGCTCAATCTGAGTATGAGTTAGCTAGGTAAAGAATTAGGTGAAAGATGTTGAAGGTGTGAGGAAAAGCTGAAAGACAAGAAATAAGATGGTATATGAAAGGACTAGAAGCAGTATGCTATGCTATTATTAGTGTCAGTTGTTACGTGAGGTAAAGCAGGTGATGAGGCTAGATGGGGAGGAAAGACCCAAACTGTAAATACCCTTATGAGCTTTGTTAAGGAGTTTGGTTTTTCTGCACCCACAGTCTTCTATCTGAATTACACAACTAGAAGAAGTCCAAGATAGAAGGGAAACAGTTTGCAGCTCCTCCCTTCTCTTCATACTCTTTCCTAAAATTGATCTGCCTGAAAACATTCCTACAGTCCACATATCATGTTGGTTCTCCATTCCCACCCCTCTTCACAATTGTCCTGTTCCTTCTTGCTTAAAAAAAATTGGGATGTGGGGGTATGGAGAGTACTGTCTTTATTACTATAGCTTTATAGTAAGTTTTGAGACCAAGTGGTGTTAGTCCTCTAGTTTTGTTCTTCAGAATCATCCTTTGCTTTCCGATATAAATTATAGAATCACCTTTTTACTATCTATAAAAAGTCTGCTGAGATTTTTATCAGGTTACAATGAATCAGTAAATCACTTTGGGGAGAATTTATATCTTAACAGTATTGAGTCTTTTAATCCATGAACATAGTATGTCTCCATTTATGTCTTTTATTTGTCTCATCAATATTTGGTAATTTTCAGCATACAGGTCTTCATATGTTTTGTTAGATTTATCGCTAACTACATCTGTTTTAGAAAATAGAAACGAAATATTCAAAAAAGTCAATATTTACACTACAACTTAAATAATATCTTTGCATCTACTTAAACTTGCGATTTAAAAAAATTATACTTAAAGAACAACAATGAATCTGTGAAGCATCTCATAACATGGATGAAACTGGAGGACATTATGCTGAGTGAAATAAGTCAATCACAAAAGGACAAATATTGTATGAGACCTCTATTGTAAAAACCCATGAAAAAGTTCACACACAAAATGTAACAATCTTTGTTGGTTACCAGGGATGGGGGGGTGGGAATACTAAATAGATAATAGATAAGGGGTATTTTGGGTAAAGGGTGAGACAGTATACAATACAGGGGAAACTAGCACAACCTGTACAAGGAAAGGTCATGGAAGCCCCATAGACACATCCAAATTCCCTGGACTGAATTGCAGGGCGGAGGGCTGTGGGGACCGTGGTCTCGGGGAACATCCAGCTCAATTGGCATGACACAGCTTATAAAGACAATGCTCTACATTCTACCTTGGTGAGTGGCCATCTAGGATACTCCACTGGTCTCATCCCTTCGGGAGCAAGGGAGAATGAAGAGAACAGGATACAAGGAAAAGATTAGTCCAAAGGACTAATTGTCCACAGCTACCAAGGCCTCCACCGGGCTGAGTCCAGTACAGCTAGATGGTGCCCGGCTACCACCACTGACTGCTCTGACCAGGATCACAACAGAGGGTTCTGGACAGAGCTGGAAAAGGATTTAGAGCATAATTCTAACTCACAAAAAAAAGACCAGATTTACTGGCCTAAAGGAGACTGGAGAAACCCCAAGAGTATGGCCCCCAGACACCCTTTTAGCTCAGTGGTGAAGTTACCTCTGAGGTTCACTGTTCAGCCTGGGAGTGGACAGTCCCGTAAAACCAAATGAGACTAACAAGGTACAGGAGTCCAGTGACAAGGGCCAGAAGGCAGAAGGGGACAAGGAAGCTGGTGATAGGGAACCTAAGGTTGAGTAAGGATATTGTTGATGTGTTGTGAGATTGTTAACCATTGTCATAGGGCAACATTTGTAGTAACTGTTAAATGAGAAACTATTTTGTTCTGTAAGCTTTCATCTTAAGTGAGAATAACAGCACAATTGGAAGAGCATAGTCAATGTCACTGAACTGTGTATGTAGAAATTTTTGCAACAGTCTATCTTTCGCTATGTGTATTTTCAGCAAAAAAAAAAGGTTGAGAAGTTAGAGGGTTAATATGTTGTGGGGTTGTTAACCAACGTCATAAAACAACATGTGTCCTACTGTTTCATGAGAAACTACTTGTTCTGTAAGCCTTCACCTGAAGTACAATAAAAAAAGAAAATTTATACTTATTTGTATAGGGGAGTAAATACTTTTACAGAACTGTTTTAAGAGGGAAGTAAGCAAAGAAGCATTTGAAAGTAGTGCTCTAGACCAGTAGGTCTCAAAGTATGGTTCCCATGACATTTGGAAACTTATTAGGAATGCAAATTCTTGGGCCCCACCATAGACCTACTGAATCGGAAGATCTAGGGGTGGGTTCCAGCAGTCTGTTTTAAGAAGCCTTCCAGGTAATCCTGATTAATGCTGAGGTTTGAGAACTGCTGCTCTATGGAAATACATGAGCCACATAAGTAATTTGTAATTTTCTAGTAGTCACATTATAGAAAATACCCCAAAAAGTTGAAATAAATTGTAATAATATATTTTATTTAGCCCAGTATATCTAAAATATTATTTCAACGTGTAATCAGTATAAAAATTATTGCTGTTTTGCATCCTTTTTTATGTGTTTTAGTTCTTCAAAATCAAGTGTTTTGCATTTACCAAAAACAAATAAACCTGTTGCCATTGAGTTGATTCCGACTCACCACCACCCCTCATTTTGTCCTGGTTACATTTCATATGCTTATTAGCTGCATGTGGCTAGTGGCTACCATATTGGACTGTGCGGTTCTAGGTAATTGTGGACCATTAGAAAGTTTATAATAGAATATAGCTAATTACATCTGCAAAGTCAGCAGCTTTTCTCCTACCCCAAAATAACTAACACAAAAAGACTATTCTGCAGTTTTTCGTACACATGGTCTCACTTATTCTTCACAGCAGAACTTGGTAGAAGGTGTTATATCACTTTTAAAGGTGAGAATTCAGAGATGAATAGGCAAATTCTCCAAGGTCACATAGCTAGTAAGTAGCACAAGTGTTAGAAGGGATGGAGAGTAGAGAACATTGGTGAAACGTTTTAAGAGATAAAATCTAGAATTGATTAATAATTAATTTGATGTGGCAAGTAAGAGAGGAAAGATTTGAGGATGGTGCTCAGGTTTCTGGTTTGGGTGACAGGACAGTAGTAGGGCCAGAAAGTGAATTGTGCATAAAAATATTTTTGAACAGCAGATTATGAGTTCATATATACAGTGTTTAATTTCTGCCTGCGATTGGCAACATGAACCTTAAGCTTAGGGTATGCTCTGGGCTAGGGATGCAGATTTGGGAGTCATCAGAGATCACCCAAGGAGAATTCGCAGAGCATGGCACCCTAGGGAATGCAACATCAGGTCCAAGAATGAGTGATGTGATGGATATGAGGACCAGACAGATGTAGTCAGCAATGGCTAAGGCAGGGTGAAGAAGGTGGACAGCACTGGGATGTGGCACCCAGGTCCAGTAAAATAACTGAAAAGTGTTCAGTAGATTGGACAATTAGATGGTCTTTGGTTAGCGTGAGCTGTTTCTTTGGAGTGACATAGGTAGAAGTTGGACTGTAGGAATGAGTGAGGCATGTGGAAAGAGATGAGTGATGACCACTCTTTTGAAAAATTAGAATGAGATGGTTGGGAAAGGGCTTGGGTAGTAGCTGATTGGATTTATTAGTTAATCTGATTTATTAACCAGTTACACGGGCTAATAGGGCTATGTGCAAAGATTTTAGAATGTGAAACCTGTTGAAGGGTCTTAAGATCTAATTCTAAACATCTTAGGTAGAGAAGGGGCTTGTTATAGAATTTTATATCTGCGTTAATATAAAAATCTTTATTATTTTATGATTTATGTAGAACTTACTGTTCAGTAATGTAGTATGTATTTTATATTTGTTAATTATTTATTGGTTGTTATAAAAATTACAGAGGAATTAAATATTCATTGGAATAAATCAACAGTACAGAGATGATAAAAAGATAATCTAGTCTCACCCCCTAAGATAGCCAATATTAAATGTTTAAATTAATCCTCCTCCTCTTTGTTCTGTTTTATACAGACATAGTTGTTGACTCCAGAGGAAAGGTGATCCCGGCTATTCTGTTGTTTCTCTTTATAGGACTTTGCCCATGCTAAACAGCTATTTGCTGCTTGTTTGGAGCTGGTGACAGAGTTCTCACCAAAACTTCGCCAGGTCATGCTGAATGAGATGCTGCTTTTGGATATTCATACACATGAAGCTGGAACGGGACAATCAGGAGAGAGACCTCCTTCTGACCTTATAAGTAGGGTTCGAGGATATCTGGAAATGAGACTTCCTGGTAAGACTGTTTCACAAAGCCAAATTTCAGAACTTTAGTCCTCAGATAATTGTGGAGGAGAATGTACAGGGGCATTTATTTGACTTTTTACCATCTATAAAAGGTTATTTTTCTCCTGAAACAGAAATTGTATGTGGAGTTCAGCTGAGAAAAGTGCAGGAAACTATTAGTTTCCTAGGGCTGCTATCACACAGTAACATGAACTAGGTGGCTTAAAACAACAGAAGGGTATTCTCCCACAGTTCTGGAGGCTAGAAGTCCCAAATTAAGGTGTTGGCATGGTCATGCTCTCTGAAGGTTCTAGGGGAGAATCCTTCCTTGCCTCTTCATAGCTTCTGGTGCCTCCCAGCAATCCTTGGCATTACCATGGCTGGTATCTGCATCACTCCAGTCTCTGCTTCCATCTTCACATGATGTTCTCTGCTCTGTGTGTTTGTATAGTCTTCTCCTTTTCCTGTAAGAACACCAGTCATTGGATTTAGAGCCCACCCTAATCTGGTATGACCTCATCTTAACTAATTACATCTGAAAAGACTGTATTTCCAAATAACCTCACATTCTGATGTTCTAGGGGGATATGAATTCAACTCACTACAGAATTTTAAGATATTCTGTTAAAAGAATCAAAACTTCCTTGAGTGTGCAAGGAAGTGTTTATTTTGTCATTATCACCTTCAAAAAGCCCTCTCATACTGATGAGCTGTGGACCAGGAACTTGCCTGTAGTCACTCTTTAGGAATAGACTTTGAGTGTCCAATTCTAATTATAAATATCTTATCATAAAAAGGGGCTTATATAAATTATCATATATGTTATATAAAAATCTTTTAGTTAAGACAGTTCTTAATTTTACATGTTTTAATTATAAAGTACTTAGACCAACTCAATCAGACCTTATACATTTAATACTGTGAACAGTAAAATTGAAGGGCAAAGGAAGGTGTTAGTAATTATCCCGAATATAATGGATTGCTGGCCCTCTGGGTCTTATGAATTAATTGTTACTGCATTCTGATTTTTAGCAGGGTATGCAGTAATAAATTACAACTTTTTAGCACTTCATACATAGAATACTTTTGAGCTTTAATGCACCAGTACCCTTCAATATAATGTCTTTGTAAGAATTGATCCAATAATATGCTGGTGCTTATTTTTTAAAGGTTGGTTTTTCAGACATGGTTTCTTTAAAATTAAAAGCAGAAGAATAAAAATCTCTTAATATTTATTGAGTGTGGTTAAGAGCTCAGCTGCTAACCAAAAGGTCAGCAGTTCGAGTCTACCAGCTGCTCCTTGGAAACCCTACAGGGCAGTTCTACTCTGTCGTGTAGTGTCACTATGAGTCGGAATCGGCTGGACGGCAACGAGTTTGGGTGGTTTTTTTTTTTTTTTAAATGACATACCAGGCTTTGTTCCCAAGTACTTTAGGTGCATAACTCATTTAGTCATCCCAGGAGTTCAGTGAAGTAGCTCCTATTTCATTATCTCCATTTTGTAATCAAGGAACTGAGGCACAGAGAGGTTAAGGAACTGAGCCAAAGTCATATAGTAAGAGACAGAACTGTGATTCTGTTCTGTCAGTTCAACTTCTAAGCCTATGCTCTCACCCTTTGAAATGGATGGAAATACCTTTAAATAATTATACTTTATCTGTATTACCTTTTGGCATTTAAACAGTTTGGAGTTCGTGTTACTTTTTTTTTTTTTTTGTTATAGGACTCCTCCTAGCTCTGCACATAATTTGTAGAAGCCAGTAACTTATTGACTGTTGAGAAACTTGTGTTATAACTTGTGCTATAAATAGTATCTAAAATGAGAAGGAAACAATGTATTGTTTCAAATAGGAAAAATAAGAGAACAGTTTGTTCTCCCATAGGTACAGTTCTTTATCTTAGACTTTTGGCTGAGACTAAGTTACCTGAGTTCAGCAGACTCCTAGCTGTTGCTGCCCTTACAACTCTGTACTTCAGTACCACCGTGTGAGATTTGGGGTTTGCAGGCACGATCTTTCTGTGTGCCAGGAATCTGGTGGCACAGGGGCATGTGTGCATAAAGGTGTCATCTGCCACCTTTGCCTCCCCTCTTTTTTTTTAAAGGTAAAAAGATTGTTCCTTAGTGATAACTAGGAACAGTTTTGCTTGAGCTAGATGCATACCCTCTACAGAAAACAGGAAGAGAAGCACTTTTATGTGGGGTTGACCTGGCTTTATTATCAGGACAGGAAGTGATCTTAAATAACAACACATCCAACCTTTCAGTTAAAATAGATTATTTCTATCTAAAGGCTACAAATTAATGATTGTAAAACCAGTCATGTCATGAGGAGCAATCCTCAACTTTTAGTAACTTTGTAGCTAATAACCCATATGGCAAGTCCTCTCATCTCTCAACAGGTGAACTAGGAAGTTGCATTGCTCCTAGTCAGTTGTTCTGTAGAAGCTTTGTTGTAATTACATCATGTCATGTTTGGGTACAACTGATTTTTAAAATTTCTAAGCTAAAATTACAGTGGTTATGCTTCGTAGTACGTAATTATGGAATCTTAACGGTTCCTTTTTCTATTTACTAGAAGAGATACAAAATGACTTTCTGAGGAGAGACTTGGCCCTGCCTGTTGGTACGCCCTTAGGTAATTCTCAGTTCACCTTCAAAGGAAGTAAGATTGGTTTCTGTTGAGACACATGTCCTTGTTATATTCCTCAATTTTAGCAAGAGAATGTTAGCCCTATTCTAGCTGCCTGTTAAAGCACGTGACTCTGCACTTACTGATAGTGAATAACTGTATTGCAGGTGCTTAAAGGAAAGTGTAATTTCCAAATCCCTGCCTCTCCGGTATCTTTAAAAAGCTCAGCTACAAGGAAACCACAGAGGATTTCTTTTTTTTTTTTTTTTTTTATTGTTGTGCTTTAAGTGAGAGTTTACAATTCAAGTTAGTCTCTCATACAAAAATTTATACATACATTGTTACGTGACCCTAGTTGCTCTTCCTGTACTATGATAGCACACTCCTCCTTTCCATCCCAGATTTCCCATGTCCATTCAACCAGCTCCTGACCCTCTCTGCCTTCCCATCTCGCCCCTGGACAGGGTCTGCCCATTTCGTCTCATGTATCTACTTGAGCTAAGAAACGTGCTCTTCACAAGTATCATCTTATGTCCCATAGTCCAGTCTTACCTTTGTCTGAAGCGTTGGCCTCGGGAATGGTTTTAGTTTTGGGCTAACAAAGATTCTGGGACTGTGTCTTCAGGGTGCCTCCAGTCTCAGTCAAACCATTAAGTCCATTAAGTCTTGTCTTGTTATGTGAATTTGAGTTCTGCACCCCACTTTTCTCCTGCTATGGAGGATTCCTTAAAGGATATTGAATCTTTCTATTCCTCTGGATTAAGCGAGATCCTCAGAGTCCTACGCAGTGGACCACATCATGTTGCATCACTCCTTATATTTTTTTCAACCGAATTATATTTTCACTTAATGCTGCTTTCTTCTTTGCTTTTTAGATATTCCTCTTCGTCAAGTTATAGCTGAGGAGTGTGTTGCTTTTATGTTAAATTGGAGGGAAAATGAATACCTTACACTACAAGTTCCCGCATTTCTGCTTCAGAGTAATCCATATGTAAAGGTAATTAAAGCTTAAATTAAAGGATTGTTAGAACGGTATTATTATACCTGCTTTATATTTATACTACTTTGGGAACTTGTCTAATTTCTGTGATAAACCTAAGGGTGAACAAATGCTTGTTGATTTGTAGTTAAAAGCATAGTTTTTGATAATTCACTTGACTTTGCTCTCTTGAATATTTTTTTCAAATTCCCTATAGCTCTGATAAGAATGCAAGTAAAAAATTTTTAGTTAACCAACAGCATTTAGGTATAGTTCCAGTCTAGTCTAGAGGTTAGTCAGCGTTTCTTGCTTTGGTTTTTATACCCAAACTCTTAGTAGTTTTAAGCTATGGAATACAGGTATATAGATGAGTGTGAGCTGGTGGAAACCATCAGGGATGCACTTCTACCCATTTTCCATTTGACCATCTTACCGTTCTTCAGAACATCTTTGTTCCTCTAAGTTTGAAAGGCCTTATTCTTATAAGTATACATATTTATTATTAATAAATACATCATTGTGAAATGATTCAGTGAATTTGATATTAAGCTTTTAGAGCCTAACTTTTTTTTTGTTTTTCTTCGTAATTTTTTTTTTTTATTGTACTTTAGGTGAAGGTTTACAGAACAAATAGTTTCTCATTAAAGTCAGTACACATATTGTTTTATGACATTGGTTAACAACCTCACGACACGTCAGCCCTCTGCCTTCTCGACCTTTTTTTTTTTTTGGTGAAAATATACATAGCCAAAGATACACTATTTCAAAAATTTCTACATGCATAATTCAGTGACATTGATTACGTTCTTCCTGGTGTGCTGCTATTCTCACTTTAGATGAAGGTTTACCAAACAAAATAGTTTCTCATTAAACAGTTAGTATACTTGTTGCCCTCTGACAATGGTTAACAACCCCACTGCATGTCAACACTGTCCTTACTCAACCTTGGGTTCCCTATCACCAGCTTTCCTGTCCTCTTCTGCCTTCTAGTCCTTGTTCCTGGACTGCTGTGCCTTATTAGTCCCATTTTGTTATATGGGGCTGTCCAGTCCCTGGCTGAACGGTGAACCTCGGAAGTGACTTCAGCACTGAGCTAAAAGGGTGTCTGGGGGCCATACTGTCTGGGTTTCTCCAGTCTCTTTCAGGCCAGTAAATCTGGTCTTTGTTTTGTGTATTACAATTTTGTTCTACATCCTCCAGCTCTGTCCAGGACCCTCTGTTGTCATCCTGGTCAGAGCAGTCATTGGTGGTAGCCAGGCACCATCTAGCTGTACTGGACTCTGTCTGGTGGAGGCGTTGGTAGCTGTGGTCCATTAGACCTTTAGACTAATCTTTTCCTTGTATCCTGTTTTTTCATTCTCCCTTGCTCCCGAAGATGTAAGACCAGTGGAGTATCTTAGTTGGCTGCTCACAGGCTTTTAAGACCCCAGACGCTACTCACCAAGGTGCAATGTAGAACACTGTCTTTATAAACTGTGTTATGCCAATTGAGCTGGATGTTCCCCGAGACCATGGTCCCCAGTAATTCGGTCCCTCAGGGAGTTTGGATGTTCAGTGACCTTGCCTTGGACCAGTTGTGCTGTATTGTGTAGTGTCTTTCTCTTCACCAAAGTTACCACTTATCTATTGTCTATTTAGTGTTCCCTCACACCCCTCCTCTCCCTCGTAACCATCAAAGATGGTTTCTTTTTGTGTATAAACCTGTTCATGAGTTTTTATAATAGAGGTCTCATACAGTATTTGTCCCTTTGTGATTGACTTATTTCACTCAGCATAATGTCCTCCAGTTTCATCTATGTTATGAGATGTTTCAGCAGATTCATCATTGTTCTTTACCGTTGCATAGTACTCCATTGTGTGTATGTACCATAGTTTGTTTATCCATTCATCTGTTGATGGGCATCTAGGTTGTTTCCATCTTTTTGTTATTGTGAACAATGCTGCCATGAACATGGGTGTGCATATGTCTGTTCGTGTGACAGCTGTTATTTCTCTAGGATATATTCCTAGGAGTGGGATTGCTGGATCGTATGGTACTTCTAGCTTTCTAAGGAAGTGCCATATCATTTTCCAAAATGGTTGTATCATTTTGCATTCCCACCAGAAGTGCATAAGCGTTCTGATCTCCCCGCAGCCTGTCCAACATTTGTTATTTCCAGTGTTTTTGATTCATGCCAGTAATGCCGGGGTGAGATGGTATCTCATTGTGGTTTTAATTTGCATTTCTCTAATAGCTAGTGAACGTGAGCATTTCCTCATGTGTCTGTTGGCTGCTTGAATGTCGTCTTTGGTGAAGTAACTGTTCATTTCCTTCGCTCATTTTTTAATAGGATTATTTGTCTTTTTGTTGTAGAGGTGTTGGATTTTCTTGTAGATTATGGAGATTGGACCTTTGTGTGACTTGTACTGTCCAGAAATTTTTTCCCAGTCTGTAGGTTCTGTTTTTACTCTTTTGGTGAAGTCTTTTGAAGAGCATAGGTGTTTGATTTTTAGAAGATCCCAGTTATCTAGCTTATCTTCTGGGGTTTGTGTGTTGATGGTTATTGTTTGTATCCTGTTAATGTTGTGTATTGGGGCCTGTAGCGTTGGTCATATTTTTTCTTCTATGAACTTTATAGTTTTTGGCTTTATATTTAGGCCTTTGATCCATTTTGAATTAGTTTTTGTTGTATGGTGTGAGGTATGGGTCCTGTTTCATTTTTTTGTAGATGGATATCCAGTTTTGCCAGCACCACTTTTTAAAAAGACTGTCTTTTCCCCATTTGATGGACTTTGGCCGTTGTCGAAGATCAGGTGACCATAGGTGAATGGATTTACATCTGAGTTCTCAGTTCAGTTCCATTGGTCAATGTATCTGTCATACCAGTACCAGGCTGTTTTGACTACTGTAGCTGTATAGTAGGTTCTGAGGTCAGGTAGTGTATGTCCCCCTGCTTTATTCTTCTTCTTCAGTAGTGCTTTATTTATTTGGGGCTTCTTCCCTTTCCATATAAAGTTAATGATTAGTTTTTCCATTAGAGTCTAACCTTTTTCCCATTTAAAATAATGAGATACTTCTCCATCTCCAGTTTTCTGGCATTTGTCCTCTTTTTCTGTTGTTTTTTTTTTTTCCCCTTTCCCTCCCCAAACATTACTAAATTTTCTCTAAGCTTTTTTCAGGCCATTCAAGTAGCTAGATACCCTCTTGTTATCATTCATCCGTTTTAAGCTTAAGTTTTCTTAATTATATCTGTATTCTGCAGCAGAAAATGCTTCTGAATGAAAAAAATTATAAAAAAGTTAAAAAGTAAAACTAGAGGATTTCCCTAAGATTCTGTTGTTTATGTGTTAATATATACTGTAAATAAGCAATGGGCTTTTCTCCCTTTCTGGGCTTGTATTTGAGAAAAACAAAACATTTAATGATTTTCTTAATATTTTTATAACTTTTTTTTTCACATTTGGTCCTTCGAATGTCCTGATTCTTATTGTTCATATTACCTTTTGTTATTCTTCTTTATCTGTCGCATCTTTAACACATAATGCTTTAAATCTGTGGTTATCTGGGAGCTCTTGCAGGACTGCACCGCTCTTTCACTTTATTCTTTGATCATTTGTTTCTTCCTCCATGTTTCATGTATGTCCTTTTAAAAACTGAGCTTACTCATTTTAACCCTTTGAAGATTCATTTTTTTATTTTTTCCTTTGACGATTTATTGATTTCTTCAGTTTATTTCTCCTTTACAACTATTTTTAAAAAATATATTGTCATACTTGAATCATTCTTCTCCCTGGAATTTTATTCATGGGATCATATCTTTTTATTGAACTTTCTGGGAAATGAGTTTCTACTATCTCCAGTACTTGTCTGATTATGCCCAGCAGTCTTTTCTTAGCCTTTAATAAACTCTCAGATGAGAGAAGCATTTTATTCCTGGATTATTATTTCTTCTTAGAATCTTAGCTTGTTGCTCAGTGTTAGCACAATCTAGTGGTTCCTTTCCTTGCTTCTCTTAGCAGTAAACTCTGGGGCCTTGCACCAGGAGAGATAGACACGTGTCTATGTAATGAATGTTTGGAGGCCTGCAGTGTGAAAGGGTACAGGAAATTGTGTTGCATGTTACCTAACCTTGAGCTAGGTTACCTCACTGCTTCCTGTCTGACCTGTTCCCTGACCTGGCCTAAAAGGAGGAAAGGTGCGGTAACCTTGCTGAAGAGGAATCATTGAGGCATCTCATCACCTCATCTTCCAGTTAGGGTTTTGTGTGCCTCGTGTCACAGTTGGCCCCTTGCTCTGTTGTTAACGTCAAGGAAAAAAGAATCAGACAAGAAGCCTAGAGTAAGGGATTATGTTTTGAAGAGAATACAGTTTACAGCAGCCTTCATACTTCATATTCGCTGTGGAATATATTCCAGTATAATTATGCTTATTATCATATGCCTAAGAGAAAGTTTGGAAGGATGTTAACAGTTATTATCTCTGGGTAGTGGAATATTAGATAATTTTTTTTGTGTGTGTATGTGTGCTTTAAGTGAAAGTTTACAGTTTAAGTCATACAAAAATTTATACACACATTGCTATGTGATCCTAGCTGCTCTCCCTATAATGTGACAACACACTCCTCCTTTCCACCTCGGATGTCCCGTATCCATTCAACCAGCTTCTGTCCCTTTTTGCCTTCTCATATTTCGTCTGTACAGGAGCTACCCATTCAATCTTATGTATATACTTGAACTAAGAAGCACTCTCTTCACGAGTATCATTTTATGTCCCCTAGTCCAGTCTAATCTTTGTGTGAAGACTTGGCTTTGGGTATGGTTTCAGTTCTGGGCTACCAGAGAGTTGGGGGGCCATGTATTGCCGAGTCTCTCCAGTCTCAGTTAGACCATTAAGTCTGCTCTTTTTACTAGAATTTAAGTTCTGCACCATACTTTTCTGCTGCTCTGTCAGGGACTCTGTTGTGTTCCCTCTCAGGGCGGTCATTGGTGGTAGCCGAGCACCATCTAGTTCTTCTGGTCTCAGCCTGAGGGAGGCTCTG